TTACACAACTGCAACGGGCTACATAATAATTGTATTATGATTTTATTATAAAAATAAAAATAATAGGTAAATATTCTTAGGAAATTTTTTAATTTGTAATTGCAAGTTGACTTCATTTTTTCTTAATCATATTTAAATTTTAAGATCCAAAAAATTAAGATTTTACAGTTCATAAGAGTTTATGTTAGTAACAAATAATGTAGAATAAAAAATAATAACTGTAGAGCAAAAAAGATAGAGTTTTTTAGTATGTTAATGTTTCAAAAGAATAAAGTTATTAAGCAAGTTATTTAAAGTAAATTTAGGTATTTTCATTGGCATTTATTATATAGTTAACTACAATAAGTATTATAGAATAAAATTTTCAAAATATTTTAACTGTTTTTGAGCTTTTTGTGTGCAAATGAAAAATTTTCAATTTTTTCCCCATAATTGTTGATAAAAAAATTATTCATGGTCTCAAAGTTCTTGAAAATTTAATAAAAAATTCCACATTAGTTATTCTTATATCTGTATAAAAATATTTAATATACATATATAGGCAGAACTTTTTTTATATGCATTTGAAGTTAGAATTTTAACAAAATTTGTCAAAGTCGCAAAAAATTGAAAATTATTTTGTAGTTCATAAAAATTTTTCTATTTGTAAGTTTGGAAAAATGTACCTAATACAAGATTCTTCACAAGTATCTATTTCATACTAAAACCATAAAATATACAAAGTATTTAATGAAAATTATTTTTTACAGTCATCTTAAGTTTAAATTTAGACGAAGTTACTTATTTAAAGAACAATAACAATATTAATTATTTTCTTATAATTTAATTTATTTTTCAATGTTGAGTTATATAAGTGATATAAATACTTATATTTGATAAATATATATTTTTATAATAATTAAATACTTATAAATTATAATATAACAAATGCAATATTTTCAGGATAACATTTTATCAATCTACTGTAATAAGTACTAAGAGTAAAATAAATGACTTTAATAGTTAGATCAAAAATCCTAACACGAAGTATAATATCTAAGTGATATAGGCCGAAAGATCATTTATGCCCAACATAATTTTTTTTATACAACGCGTATCATTGAATTCAAATTTACCACATCTATAATAGTGATCAACTTACTCGCCTACCATTTTTTTTACTAACTTTTATGGTATTTTTGTAAGAAATAAAAAAAGGAAATGTTGTAGTATATAAAAAAACATTTTTATTTGGATTGAAATAGACAATTAATCCTGTCACTGAAGGACTGAAGTAGGTCACACATTATAATAATATTATGCAAGCATAAAGCAAGCGTTATTTAATATTTATTATTTTACCTGTCGAAAACGCGTTTAAACACAGGCGCATAGTTATATACATTTATATGCTGGAATGCCGTCGATCAGGTCATGTTATATATAATATTACATACCTAATTGAGTTAATCGATATTGCATCGGCGTAGTCGAATTTCATATCTGCAAATTACTGTAATGTAGACTATAGTTATTTTAATGATTTAAATTATAATTTGTATTACCAAAATTGTTTCAACTTATGTTTCTGTATATTTTTATAAAATATAGAATGCGATTTATTAAACATTTTTAGTCCGGCTTTTCATTTTCAATATATATATTTTTTTTTTTATCACAATAAATGTCAACAAAAAATATTTTATTTCTGGTCAAAACAATTATAAATTTGTACCTAGATCCCACATAAGCTGTTCTTATTGATAGCTGTACAAAAATATTTAATTTATATAGGCACAGTCTATTTTTATAGACATATAAAGTTCATAGTTAGACAACATTTATCAGTATCACGAAAATTTGTAATTTATTGTTACAAGTTATAATTATTTTTGTATTTTAGTATTATATATAGTTAGGTAGGTATTCATTATTCGATTGACAATCAAAATATTTTAAAAATCTTCATTAGATAACAGATATTTTTCTTACTATTAAGTTTGATAACAAGTCAATTCGCTCTAATATTAAAGTTAACAATATACGAAATCGATTTTACTAAAAGCCAATTTAATATGTTGTATTGTTGAACGTTGCACGTTTGTAAGATGGAAACATATGTCAACAGTCACGCATAATTATTATCTTTGAGTAAACACTGAAAATATACATATAGTTATATGACAGAATATACGATGAAATTTATACGTACTATAACTAAATTTTTAAACTAATTTTATCCGTTTATTTGTTTTCCTATTTACTTAATTTAAATGTATTTAGGTAAACAAAAAGCTATATATATACGAAGTATAATTTTTGAAATGAAGAATCAGAAAATGTAATCGTTGGAGTAGACCAACTCACATACTGTACATTGTACAATGTTGTACATTACTATTGACTACTGTTAAGCTGTTGTATTATGGTAGTAAGCTAGTTGATTTGTACTTTACATGGAATGCTCCTGTAACAATAATATATATTATTGTTACATGACACCTATGTATGTGTCAATTCCGTAGTAGGCAATAGTGGGATATTTATGCTGAGATAAACATTGTTAATGATTGTGAGGCTTGTGGCCAATACGCACCGTTTATCGAAAGAGCAGTTCGAGACTGACCAGCAATAAACACGAACTCACCAAAAAACATGAACTCACCAACACCGGGATTGTTTACCACCATCTACATTTTGTTAAGTACAAACCAAAAATATATTTTGAACAGAGATTTATAAACCAAACGTGTTTTATTTATTGATAAGATCCCACATACCGTGTTCTAACCCCCCAGCTACGGAAAATTTATCTATAAGGACCAGAAAACCTTCCCTGGATAACTAATATAGTAACTAGGTTCCCCAGCCACGTTACACTCCAAAAATTGAATACTTTAATCATAGTAGCAAAACGAACTAAAATGTAGAATTTAATTTTTCAATAATCATATTATCCTGCTGTATGTTTATAATTGTGATCAGAATGGGTGGGCGCCCTCTAATAAAAACTTATGTACAGACAACTCTCGAAATTCAAAGTTTGCGGAACTTTTGAAAAATTTCAAAATTACCAAGAGTTTGAAATATTGAGAGAGCGAAAAAAAATCCGAATTACTGAGAGTAAAGAAAAAAAAATAGTGTTTTTATTATTGAACATACAAAATTATTAAATATTTCAGAAAATAGACGGTAATACAGTTCTTTGTTGTTTTTAAAATGCAAATTAAACTATGTTTTTTATTATATCTAGGTACTATATAAATTAAATTATTATAATTTATTATTAACAGACGACGATTAAGAAATAAAATGCTTACGATAGAAATCTTATGATAATAATTCTATAGTTATCGAAAATAATTAGCTAAATTTCTACACGATTGTATACCAAGTAAATTATCAACGAAAAAGGTTGTAAGAAATACGTCTGGTGAATATATTTTGAACGGATGAAACTTCGAATCGTTACGTTTTAGTGAACAGTTTTCCTAAAATTAAATTTCGAATTACTGAGTGTAGGTACTTAAATGTATGGTTTTTATTCGAATTACCGCGAGATTTTCAAGAAAACGAGCATTTACTTTAAATTACCGAAAGTTTCGAATTATCGAGTCAACTGTATATATATAACTGTAAACACTATATAGTAGATATAACTGTATACGTGATACATATGAGACTTTTTCAGATGTATTATAATAGTGCTAGTGGTGCAATTAAATACGTTTTAATAATGGGGAAGAATACACAATTTTTTACTGATTTTTTTTGTAATTATTTAGACATACATAAACTTGCTTACAAAAACATATTTGTATTAAGTATTTTAATGAATTAAAATCAACTCAACTTATACGTTTTTATTTTTTTATTTTTATTCTGTCACTTTTTAACGCAATTTGCTATTGAAAACAATGCATGGTAAAGCTTCAAACTTATGATCAAATGTTCGGACGTAATAGCTTGTTTTTACTTATTATCTGTTTGGGAACGCAGTTGTACTCAACTAAGTAGTTACAGAATAAGTTACAGAATCGAAATAATGTTTCAATCGGAATTTGAAACCGCGACGAATTTTATTCACGTAGATGCCTATCTGAATCATTTGAGTAATTTGAAATTACAATTAAATAACCATTATTAAAACTTTAGCTTAATGTAGTTTTTAATTAGTTTTTAAATGATCTAGTTCGTGTAAGTACTGCAAGTGTACTCCAGTATCGAGAGTACAGTACTTATTTACATACTTAGTTATTCATGTCCTATAGGCTATAATATTATATATTGCAACAACCGTCAACTAACAATCAGTGTTGTAACGTTTTAACAATTATAACTTTAGATTAAAATATAAATTAATTACCTGGTTGATATTTTTGAAATATTTAGTTACTTGAATTAAAATTATTTGTGTATAATAACACGTGATCCTCGGTTAACGGGTGAACAACAGCTGAAAGTTCAACTGGTGAAGAACTATTTAGTATTTGCTACACGCTTTAAAAATGTTAGAATGGCTTCCGTTAAAATATTGTTCGACATAAAATTCGATTAGGTTTCGAAATCCCTAATAAATAACCTTCGAATTGTTGTCATTAGTTTTCGTTCTGAACTAGGATGCGCGTGAACACTGTGAACATGAAAGAGTCATACAGAACATGAATGACAATAATAAAATTATGAATAAATTTTGAACAGTGTTATCAATATCGTATGATTGTGATGACGGATAAGTCGTAAGTCAGTTACTAGGTTTGTTCCAGCATAGTGTTGGTAACTAGTTATAATTGTTGGCAACATAAAATCAACGCGCATGCGTTTAACACAACAAGTTTGCAACCAGTGATCTGCTGGAACAGTTTTTGGCTGAAAAAGTTTTCGGTTGTGGTTATTACCATTTACCAAGGTATATTACTGTGTTAACGTAGGTTGTTTATCAATTATACGGTATTTCTTATCACTTGCCGCCAAAATTGTATTATCACTATTATCATTTACCACAATTAATCGTGCTAACTGCTATTTACTACACAAGAGTACAAGACGTCTGACGTAGATACCTACAACCAACACAACATCAAAAAATGGAAAAGGTTTATACAGGTTAGTAAAATGTAATTAAGTGGAAAACATAAATGTCCATTGTTAGACAAACAAAACAGTTTTGTGCTATTATGAGGAGCTCTGTACTAATTAGTATTACAACACAGTACTATTCAGTATATTAGTTATGTATATATAATTATAAACATTTTAATTTATTTTAGAATTAAGTGAAATGATTGTGTTGCGAGATCCTCCACAGACTCCAAGTAATTCAAATTTAACCACAGTTGAATATACACATTGGTCTAGAAATGTGACACTCAGACTGATTGGTGAATATGGTAAAAACTACAAAGACGTAGGAAGTAGAATTCGGAGTTACAAAATTTTGTATGAAATGATTGCTGAGATTTTAAACACTGAATTTCAACTAAAATTAACTGGGTCACAAGTAAATAATAAATTTCAAACATTAATAAGATCTTATAAAGCTGTTGTTGATAACAATAAAAAAACCGGAAGAGGGAGGAAATATTTTGAATTTGAAGAGCAGATGGATAATATATTTCAAAAATCCAAAAGAATAAACCCTGAAATTTTGATGACAGAGACTGAGGTTATCAAAAATACTCCTAGAGCCTGCAATGACACACCAACACTGCAAAAAAGTGTACATGAAGCGATTGATGAACCAGATTTATTTATAAATAAAGCTTCTGGGTCTGTTGAAGATGAGAGGAAAACAGCAGTTAAAAAGACAACAATAAATTTGAAGAGAAAAGGAACCAGAACTGATGTACTCGAAGGTATAAGAAGCGACAAACAAAAATTTTATGAAAATTATATTCAAATTCAATATTCAAAAATTGCTGAGCAAAAAAGGAAGAACGATCTACTTGAGGAAAAAAATAAGCTGCTCAAGGAGTACTTACTTAATAAATAATAGTAGAAAAATCAAACATTTATTTAACAGGGATTAGAAGCTAAATGTGTTAAGGGTTTTTATTGTTATTTTTAATATTTTTATTATTATACAGACTGAATGTTTTTTTTTTAAATAATTATGTATTAATAAGTTTGTTTTGTACACAAAGAAATGTGTTGGAGG